GTAATGTATGAGGGTTCCAATTTCTCTACAATCTCACCAATATTTCTTGTTTTCTGTTTTTTGTTAATAGCCATCCTGATGGGTGTGAAACGGTATCTCATTATAGTTTTTTGTTTTGTTTTGTTTTGTTTTTTTGAGACAGGATTTCACTCTGTCACCCAGGCTAGAGTATAGTGGCGTGATCAAGACTCACTGCAGCCTCCACCTCCCTCGCTCAAGTGATCCTCCCACCTCAGCCTCCTGAGTAGCTGGGGCACCAAGCACATGCCACCATGCCCAGCTAACTTTTATACTTTTTGTAGAGATGGGGTTTTGTCATGTTGCCCAGGCTAATCTCCAACTCCTGGGCTCAAGTGATCCACCCATCTCTGCCTTCCAAAGTGCTATAATTACAGGCATGAGCCACCACAACTGGTTGACTTGTATAGTTCTTCATGGATTCAGAATATTAATTCATTATTCAATATAAAATTTGCAAATATCCTATTTTGTGGATAAGATGGAAATTTTAAGATTTAGTGCCTGCTTAAGCAAATGCTGGGAAACAACTTCACCGAAACAAGCTCTAGCCTTGTTTCAGCTTGCTCCAGAGGTCTGGGTCGAGGTGATATTAAATAGTGGCTTAAAACAGTTCATGGCTGGGCACAGTGGCTCACGCCTATAATCCCAGCACTTTGGGAGGCCGAGGCAGGTAGATCGCTTGAGTCCAGGAGTTCAAGACCAGTCTGGCCAACATAGCAAAACCCGTCTCCACTAAAAATACAAAAATTAGGCCTGGCACAGTGACTCATGCCTGTAATCCCCGCACTTTGGGAGGCAGAGGCGGGTGGATCACTTGAGGTCAGGAGTTCGAAACCAGCCTGGCCAACATGGTGAAACCCTGTATCTACTAAAAATACAAAAAAATTAGCGAGGTGTGGTGGCAGGTGCCTGTAATCCCAGCTACTTGGGAGACCAAGTCAGGAGAATCGCTTGAACCCGGAAGGCGGAGGTTGCAGTGAGCTGAGACTGCGTCACTGCACTCCAGTCAGGGTGACAGAGTGAGACTCCATCACAAAAAGAAAAAAAAGAAATACAAAAACTAGCTGGGAGTGGTGGTGCAGGCCTGTAATCTCAGCTACTCTGGAGGCTGTGGCACGAGAATTGCTTGAACCTGGGAGGTAGAGGTTGCAGTGAGCTGTGATTGTGCTGCTCTACTCCAGCTTGGGAGACAGAGAGAGACTCTCTCAAAAAACAAACTAACAACAAACAGTTCATATCTACTTCAGAGAACCCCCCTGAGAAGCTGGTTGTGTTTCAGATTTACCTCCTAGATATTTTATTTTCCTCCTTAAAGATCAAAGAAGGCAGAGGAAGCCATGAATGAGAGAGTCACGGTAAGGCTAGAAATAAAAGATGTCTTATTCTTATCACGATTGCACTGGATTATTCTCTTATTTTCTAACTTAGTCTGTAAGTTTCTTGATAGCAGGTACTGCTATATAAATTTAAAACTAATATTCTATTCAGCACCTAGCACATCAGGTTTTACATAGTAAATGCTCAATAAATTATTGTTTATTGACGTTAGTTGATTAGCAATTCCTATAATTCTAGGAGATTGCCATGAAGTGGTCTATATTATTTCATATGAATAATAACAGATTGCATTCTTACTTGAATATTTGATATCAAATAAATATTTTTATAACGTATTTATAAAATTATAAAATAAAGATATGCTATATAACTTATATTTTTCTTTCCTTTTTTTTTTTTTTTTTGAAATAAGATCTTACTCTGTCCCCCAAGGCTGGAGTGCAGTGGCACAATCACGATTCACTGCAGCCTCGACCTCCTGGGCCCAAGCAATCCTCCCACCTCAGCTTCCCAAGAATCTGGGAGTATCTGGGACTACAAGAATGTGCCACCATCCCTGGCTAATCTTTTTGTAGAGATGGGATTTCGCCATATTACTCAGGCTGGTCTTGAACTCCCGACTCAAGCGATCTGCCCATCTCAGCCTCCCAAAGTGCTGAGATTGTAGGCGTGAGCCACCATGCCCAGCTAAAATTTATTTTTAAATTCAATAGACATGAGGGCCAGGCTCAGTGGCTCACGCCTATAATCCCAACAGTTTGGGAAGTAAAGGAGAGCAGATTGCTTGAGGTCAGTAGTTTGAGACCAGCCTGGCCAACATGGTAAGACCCCATCTCTACTAAAAATACAAAAATTAACTGGGTGTAGTGTTGCGCACCTATATCCCAGCTACTAAGGAGGCTGAGGCACAAGAATCACTTGAACCTGGGAGGTAGAAGTTGCAGTAAGTCAAGATCGTGCCCTGCACTCTAACCTGGGCAACAGAGTGAAACTATGTTTTGAAACAAACAAACAAAAAACAACTTTGTTAATGACTAGACCTGTGATAGACTGGAAGGATTCAAAGGCGGACAAGGCAAATCCTTCGAAGAATTTGCAGTTTCATAGTTAGGTAGACAATAAGCAGCAACCATGCCATGATAATGAAGTACTATAATACAGGTAAGCACTGGGTGCCATGGAGCAGAACATAAGGAGCACCTAAGTCGGTTCGTAATTGGAAGAAAGGGAAGTTGGAAAGGTTCCTGAGCTGCTGCTTAAGAATAAGTATGGGCCGGGCACAGTGGCTTGCACCTGTAATCCCAGCACTTTGGGAGGCTGAGGCGGATGGATCACCTGAGGTCAGAAGTTTGAGAACAACCCTGCCAACATGGCAAAACCCCATCTCTACCAAAAATACAAAAATTAGCCAGGTGTAGTGACAGGTACCTGTAATCCCAGCTACTTGGGAGGCTGAAGCAAGAAGAATCACTTGAACCTGGGAGGGAGAGGTTGCAGTGAGCTGAGATCACGCTGCTGCACTCCAGCCTGAATGACAGAGTGAGACTGTCTCGAGACTGTCTCAAAAAAAAAAAAAAAAGTATGATCGGTTCTTATAAGTACAGAAATAAACTCTCGCATTTATGGTCAATTGCTTTTCAACAAATGTGCCAAGATAATTCAATGGGGAAAAGAAAAACCTTTCCAACAAATGGTGCCAGGACAACTAAAACAATAAAAATCTTAGAAGAAAATATAGAAATACGTCTTTAGGAACTTGAGTTAGTTAAAATCTTCTTAGATATGAACCTAAAAGCACAAAGCAGCAAAATAAATAAAGTGAATTTCATCAAAATTAAAAACTTTTGTTCTTCAATTAAAGGCCTCTGGAAAGTAAAGACACCTCTCAAAATAGGAGAAAATATCTGCAAATCACTTTTTTTTTTTTTTTTTTTTTGAGACAGAGTCTTACCCTGTTGCCCAGGCTGGAGTGCAGTGGTGCAATCTCAGCTCACTGCAACCTCCACCTCCCCAGTTCAAGTGATTCTCCTCAGCCACTTGAGTAGCTGGAATTACAATCATGCACTACCACACTCGGCTAATTTTTGTATCTTTAGTAGAGATAGGGTTTCCTCATGTTAGCCAGGCTGGTCTCAAATTCCTGGCCTCAGGTGATCCACCCACCTCAGCCTTCCAAAGTGCTGGGATTACAGTCATGAGCCACTGCACCCGGCCATGCAAATCATATATCTTAAAAGGGATTTATATTTAAAATATCTAAAGAGTCTTAAAACTCAATAATAAAAAGACAACCTAATTAAAACATAGTAAAGGGAAGGATGAAATAAAATCATCTTTGTCACAGATGACATGATTATGTAGAAAACTGGAAATAAATGACGACAAAAAAAAAAACAAACTTGGAACTAATAAGCAATTATAGCAAGTGATGATAGTTGCAGGATGCAAGGTTAGTATACAAAAGTCAGCCAGTTGCAGTGGCACGAGCCTATAGTCACAGCTACATGGGAGGCAGAGGCAGGAGGATCACTTGAGCCCAGGAGTTCAAGGCTGCAGTAGGCTCCATGCAGTGGCTCATGCCTGTAATCCCAGCACTTTGGGAGGCTGAGGAGCACAGATCACTTGAGTCCAGGAGTTTGAGACCAACCTGGGCAACACAGTGAAATCCCGTCTCTACAAAATATATGAAAATTAGCTGGATGTGGTAGTGTGCTCCTATAGTCCCAGCTTCTTCGGAGACTAAAGCAGGAGGATCACCTGAGCCTGGGAGGCGAAGGTTGCAGTGAACTGAGATTACACCACTGCATTTCAGCCTGGGCAACAGAGTGAGACCCCCATCTCAAAAAAAAAAAAAAAAAAAGGGTGCAGTGCATGATGATCACACCTATGAATAGCCCCTGCATTCCAGCCTGGGCAACATAGTGACACTGTCTCAAAAAAAAAAAAAAAAAAAAAGCCAATGGCTTTCCTATATATCAGCAATGAACAAGTGGAATTTGAAATTAAAAGCAAGCACAGGCTGGGCGCCATGGCTGACACCTGTAATCCCAGCACTTTGGGAGGCTGAGGTGGGCGGATCACAAGGTCAGGAGATCGAGACCATCCTGGCCAACATGGTGAAACCCTGTCTCTACTAGAATACAAAAAATTAGCTGGGCATGGTGGCATGCACCTGTAGTCCCAGCTACTTGGGAGGCTGAGGCAGGAGAACTGCTTGAACTCAGGAGGTGGAGGTTGCAGTGAACCGAGATCACACCACTGCACTCCAGCCTGGCAACAGAGCAAGACTCCGTCTCAGAAAAAAAAAAAGAAGGAAAGAAAACACAATTTCATTTACATTAGGCACCCTCCAAAATGATTTTTTTCTCTCATATGGAGTTTCAGTCTTGTTGCCCAAGCTGGAGTGCACTGGCACGATCTCAGCTCACTGCAACCTCTGTCTACTGAGCTCAAGCGATTCTCCTGCCTCAGTCTGCCAAGTAGCTGGAATTACAGGCATGCACCACCACACCCAGCTAATTTTGTATTTTTAGTAGAGACAGGGTTTCACCGCCCTGGCCTCCCAAAGTGCTGGGATTACAGGTGTGAGCCACCAAGCCCGGCCTGAAATGTTTTTTTACAAGAGCACAAATCCACTTTTATTCATTGACTTTTCATTAGTTTAAATCCTTGAGGGGTACAGCATGAGGGTACAGCATCACTTGGATTCTGTGTCCAATAGCCTTAGCAGGAAGATTGCTTCGGAATTTGGCATGAACCATGCCACTGTTTCTGTGGGCCCGAGTTACCTTTCCCCAGATTACTCTTGTTTGGTTTGGTTTGCCGCCAGGAGTCACTTTGTTGTTCTTTGCTTTGTATACATAAGCACATCTCTTGCCCAAATAGAATTCTATTTCATCTCGGGCATAAACACCTTCAATTTTAAGAAAAGCTGTATGCGCTCTTTGGTTCTGGAGACTCTGCTTATAGCCAGCAAAAATGGCTTTGGACCACAGCCTTCCAGACATATCTTCTTTTAGAAGATTTGTTCCCAGCAGGATCCAAGATGGTGGGAAAAAACAAAATGAAATATTTTGATATAAATCTTTTTTTTTTTCTTTTAAGACAGAGTCTTGCTCTGCTGCCCAAGCTGGAGTTCAGTGGTGCAATCTTGGCTCACTACAATCTCCGCCTCCTGGGATCAAGTGATTCTTCTGCCTCAGTCACCTGAGTAGCTGCGATGACAAGCACCTGCCACCACACCTGGCTAATTTTTTTTTTTTTTTTTTTTTTTTTTTTGTATTTTTAGTAGAGACAGGGTTTCACCATGTTTGTCAGGCTGGTCTCCAACACCTAACCTCAAGCAATCCACCTGCCTTGGCCTACCAAAGTGCTGGGATTACAGGCATACACCATCGCACCTGGCCTATATTTTGATGTAAATCTAACAAAATATGTTTAAGATCTAGGAGGAAAACTAAAAACTCTGATTTTAAAAAATCAAAGAAGAACCAAATAAATGGAGATATTCAATGATTGTAGGTAGGAAAACTCAATAAGACATCTGTTCTTCACAGCTTGATCTATAGATTTCAATATAATCCCAATCGAAATTCCAGCAAATGATTGTGTGGATATCAACAAACTAATTCTATAGTCAGCACAATACTGAAGGAGAAGGCAAAGTTAGAAGACTGACAAAGTCAGAGGACTGATATTACCTGACTTCAAGACTTACTATAAAGCTACGGTAATTGAGACAGTGTAGTATTGCTTAGAGAACAGACAAATAGATCAATGGAAAAGAATAGAGACCAGAAAGAGCCGTGGCAGAAAAGTAGAGTGGGAGGGTGGTAGGATGGGGAAGGGAAGAGAGTGGAGAGGAGAGAAGGGTGGGTAGGGGAGGTGGAGGACAGATAGAAGATTGAAAATGGATGGAGAGACAATGCCTGGAATACAAACCAGGATGTGTTCTAGAGCACCTGTGGATAGGCTTGGAGAGCAGGCAGGACTCTTTTTCCTTTGAGACTGGGGAGAAAAATGGAGACTGGTGGTAAGACAGAGGTAATTTGTTCAGAGGCAGGGCAAGAAGTTGAGGGAATCCCTGACTGACGTAACAAGTTACTCATCCAGCAAATGTTTATTGGGCAACATTTATGTGTCAAGCCCTAAGCCTAGTGCTAGAGATTTAGAGATGAATAAGAGAAGGCACTTGCTCTCTCAGAACTTAGAGTCTGGCCAGGCATAGTGGTTCGCGCTTGTAATCCCAGCACTTTGGGAGGCCAAGGCAGGCAGATCAGTTGAGGTCAGGAGTTAGAGACCAGCCTGGCCAACATGGTGAAACCCTGTCTCTACTAAAAGTACAAAAAATTAGCCAGGCATGTTGGCGTGTGCATGTAATTCCAGCTACTCAGGAGGCTGAGGCAGAAGAATCGCTCAAACCTGGGAGGCGGAGGTTGCAGTGAGTAGAGATTGTGCCACTGCATTCCAGCCTGGGCAACAGAGCAAAACTCTGCCAAAAATAAAAAAACTTAGAGTCTAATGGTCTCTCTCTCTCTTTCTTTCTTTCTTTCTTTCTTTCTTTCTTTCTTTTTCTTTCTTTCCTTCTTTTTCTTTTTTTTTTTTAGAGAAGGTCTCACTGTGTCACCCAGGCTGAAGTGCAGTGGCGTGATCTGGGCTCACTGTAGTGATTCTAGTCTCAGAATACAAGACATCCTGGGGCTCAAGCGATTCTCCGACCTTGGCTTCCAGAATAGCTGGGACTACAAGCGCCACCGCACCTGGCAATATTTTTTTTTTTTTTTTTTTTTTGAGACGCAGTCTCTGTCGCCCAGGCTGGAGTGCAGTGGCGCGATCTCGGCTCACTGCAAGCTCCGCCTCCCGGGTTCACGCCATTCTCCTGCCTCAGCCTCCCGAGTAACTGGGACTACAGGCGCCCGCCACCTCGCCCGGCTAGTTTTTTTTTTTTGTATTTTTTAGTAGAGACGGAGTTTCACCGTGTTAGCCAGGATGGTCTGGATCTCCTGACCTCGTGATCCGCCCCTCTCGGCCTCCCAAAGTGCTGGGATTACAGGCTTGAGCCACCGCACCCGGCCAACCTGGCTATTTTTTATAGAGACAGGGTCTCACTAAGTTGGCCAGGCTGCTCTCGAGCAATCTTCCTGGGCTCAAGCGATCTTTCTGCTGTGGCCTCCCAAAGTGCTGAGACTACAGGCATGAGCCACTGCACCCAGCCCTCTACTTTCTTTATGAAGGAGAAGATAAAGTTTTGCTGGAAGGAAGTATGTGGGAGAGGTAGGGGAATTGAGTAGAGTGGTGAATATTTAGAATACTTTTTCAGGAAATGGGAAATCAAAAATGAATAGGAAAATGTAAGAATTGCTGCTTGCCATGAAGTATCGAGATGAGAACAGATATGTTTATGGTAGTATGAATCCAAAAAGTTATGTTATTTTTTTCCTACTAAATTTCAGTAGCTCAGATGAAGTAGTAGAGGAGATTGAGGGATAGATTCATCTGGAATTGGAGGCTTATGAGGTAGTTGCAATAGAAGGACAAGGAAGAGAGAGTTGACAGTGCTGGCAAGAGAAGAATTGAACTGATAAACTTATTGATAGGGAATTAGTCTCTTCAGTTGGCAAGAAGCAGAGACGCCCTTAGTTCAGGTTATCACAAAGGCTGAGGTAGAAGATAATGACACCGAAATGTAAGGGAGGAAGCCCAGGAAACTTGCGCCACAGGCAGGCATTGGGGAGAAATGAAAAAATGCCTAGAATAGGATGCAATAGAAGTTCTGTTCTATTGAATGTAAGTTCACCCCAATGTCAGCTCTAATCACCTGGTTTGCTTCTACCCTCTCAGAAGTAAATGCTCATTTGCTCCTTTTTCCAGGAATTCTCCCATATTCATAACTCAGCTTCTTACTGTTTAGTTTCTCTCTCTCCTCTTTTGCACATACTTACTACTTTTCCCTGTTTGTATTAATTTTTCTGTGTCGTGCATCCAAATTCCCCCAAAAGAGGACTTGATTGAATCAGCTAGATTCATCCAATATGGACCACATTAAAGACTTCTGGTCTCCCCTTGTGTTTAGCCTATAAAGGTTTATCTTCTGCTATTTTATAGATTTCTGATCTAGTCAGCCACAACCAGGGTAACACAATGATGGTGCTAGAAAAAGGTCCCAACCCAGACTCCAAAAGAGGGGTTCTTGGATCTCATGCAGAAAGGAATTCAAGGTGAGTCACAGAGTGCAGCAAGAAGAGATAGTTTATAGAAAGCTACTCAGTTACAGAGTAGGGCATCGTTAGAAAGCAAGCGGAGGAATGAGCACTGTCTTTGTTTTGTTTTGTTTCTGAGACAGAGTTTCACTCTTGTTGCCCAGGCTGGAGTGCAACGGGGAGATCTCAGCTCACTGCAACCTCCGCCTCCCGGGTTCAAGGGATTCTCCTGCTTCAGTCTCCTGAGTAGCTGGGATTACAGGCATGCGCCACCATGCCTGTAGAAATATACCATGCCTGTATTTTCACCTGCTAATAGAAAATAGCCCAGCTAATTTTCTATTTTTAGTAGAGACAGGGTTTCTCCATGTTAGTCAGGCTGGTCTCAAACTCCCGACCTCAGGTGATCTGCCTACCTCAGCCTCCCAAAGTGCTGGGATTACAGGTATGAGCTACTGTGCCCAGCCTCTTTGTTTTAAACTCTTCTTATATAAAGGTCTTATCTATGTAAAAGCTAAGCTATGCCTACATGCGGGTAGGCTGACAGCATGACAACATTTATTACTTTGTTGATTTAAAGAAAGCTATCCTTGGCATTTTAGTGCGTAAGTACATCAAAGCATAACTATAATCATCTTAAAAGCATATATTGTTATGCGATATCGGGACATCTGGACATTCTGTGGCTGCAGGAGTTTGTCCTTGCAGGCATTATTAAGCTGCTTTCTTAGCTGTAAACATCTTGTGACCATGGGTCATAAACTGGTGAGGAATGTGCCTTGCTAGCTTTTAGATGGAGTTTATTTTAAAATGGTGTCAACCTTGCTCTCTGATATTCCTGTTTCCCTAACAATTATGTAACTTACAGCATGGCCACCCCAGCCTACTTTTCTCAGAAAGGAATTGTGAGTAGAGTTTCATGGACCATGGAGGACTGCATCATAGAAAAGGAAAGAAAAGCAGGAGGGGGATTGATGGCCAGGTGTGGTGGTGTGTGCCTGTAGTCTTAGCTACCCCAGAGGCAGAGGTGGGAGAATCACTTACGCCTGGGAGGTGGAGGCTGCAGTGAACCCTGATCACGCCACTGCACTTCAGTCTGGGTGATGGAGCAAGACTCTGTCTTTAAAAATGTGACATATATAGCTCCATAATCTTAAAGAACCGGAGTATTAGGAGTGGGGAAATGAAAGAGCTAGAAGGAACGATAAGGAATTTCAGATTGTTAGAAGGGTGAAAATAATGGGATGGTATAAGCCAAAAAATGTTGAGCACAGAATCTTAGGTGGCTCATCCACATGAATAAAGTTACACAACCTAGAAGATGACAGATGCTAGGTTGAAAAAAAAAGCCAGATTATCAAAGTTTGCAACAAATGTAGAGGCATGTCTTGGAAGTCGATACAAAACAATGATCAGGAGAGATAAAAGATAAGATGAGGAACGCGTGGACTGCAAAGGAGGACAGTGTAGTGGTTGAAAATGCGTCTGAGGAATGATGACATAATCTCTCATTCCCAGGATGCAGGGCACATGAGGGAATGCATAGGGAAACATGTATGTTACGTAAGACAAAGTTAATGCCTAGTGTATATTAGGAGGTGCAGTAATCTATAAAGTAAGTATATAAGACACAGGAAGTACCATTCTATTGTTTTGTTTCACAGCTTTTGTCTGAAATTAGTGTATGTGATATAAGAAACATTAAATTGACCAGGCGCGGTGGCTCACACCTGTAATCCCAGGTCTTTGGGAAGGGGAGGTAAGCGGATCACCTGAGGTTGAGAGTTCCACACCAGCCTGACCAACAT